TATCGACTACGACAGTGCTCGAAACCGGGGCCAACGAACCAGGAGGCATAACTTCGACCACCTCTCCCGTCTCGCTCTTGATGGCGACGTACTCGCCTTTGGCGCCACGGATAGTAACGACACCTTCATCCTTGGTATAGATGCCCTTGACATCGAGCACCTCACCCGGAGCCTGAGGCAGGACAGTCTTAGACCAGATGATCTCGCCATCATTCCCAGTGCTGAGGCCGTAAATGCGACCACGTCGAGTCACGAGTACAATGATCTTGTTGAATCCAAAGCTATCGCGGTGCAAGCCATCTGCCTTGGTCGCAACCGTGCCGCCGGACAGGCTGCTGATGATTCGCTCCGGAATAGATGCCAGGTAGTCGGGCAAGTATTGTAGATCGTTCAGGTGGCGGTTGACACGGTGAACGTAGGCAGCGGCGGGGTTGGTATGCGCCTCCTGCTCCAGGACCTTGGCGAGGTTTTCGCTCGCGGGAATCTCTGCCCAGACAGCCGCAACAGCAGCGGTCAGTCCCTCAGGACGGGTCCAGTCCACCTCGCCATTGCGCACCAGAATCCAGTCATCTGCCTTGGTCACAACAGCGGCCCTGACAGCAAAGCCCTCGCCGGTGGGCTTCTTAATGGCTTCTGCGACCGCATGGATCGGCTCAACGTCACCGACGGGCTTGAAGGGCCATCGAGCAAGGACGCCATGTGACTCGGAGGAAACAACGATAATCTCATCTGCGGTAATTCGGGTAAAGTAGACATTGGCGCCGTCGGAGCTGGTTGAGATAGCGCCGATACCAGACAGAAGAGGGAGCTCGTAGGCCAGGGAAACCTGGTTGTTCTTCAAGTTGGTGTGGTACACTTCAGCCTTGTTGCCGGCCTTGGTTCTCGTGTGGACCAGGAAATGAGGCTGCGACTGGGTGAGATGGGGCGCGTGGATTTCGACGGAAATGGCATCGGTGGGCAGCTTAATATCCTGCGTCGCTTTCGTACCCAACACGTTGACCTTGAGCTTCGACAGCGTGTTATCGGTCCAGGCCAGGATGGGCGCCGCAGAGTTGCCACCGACAAACATGACATCCTTGGGTCCATGGACATCGCCCTTGGTGCCAATCGACAGATCATCGAGACGGCTTCCCGTCGCAATATCGAGGGCCGTGACCTTGAGGCTGTAGGAAGCGGGCGAGCCATGGAGGCTAACAACGTAGACCTTGGAAATATCGGTCGAGACCTGCAGAGGCGTGTCCTTTGCTGTTTGGCGGAACTCCCACACAACGTGACCGAGTGTACCATGTATGCGTCGCAGAACCGTAACCCCGTCTTCGTCGTAGAGGACCAGAACATCCTTGCTCGATTTCTCCGACAGCGCCAAGATCTCCAGATCCTTGACCTCGCCCTGGAACTCGGCCTGCCAGAGGCTGCGGCCCGTCAGCGCATCCCAAGCCTGCACGCGCGACCCGTACGCAGCAGCGACCCAGTGCTCGCCCTCGGTAGCGCGCAAGAAGCCGCCGCCATTGGTGAGGTCATCCGCGATCTGCTGGCGCCAGACGACAGCGCCATTGCTGGGGTTCACGGCGCCGATGACGCCGACGTCGCTGAGGGTGTAGAGGAGGCTCGCCTTGTCGGCCTTTCGCGGTCGATGGAAGAAGGTGGTTTCGACTTGGGGGACGCCGACCAGCGCGTGATGGAAGTCGATGTGTCCGACCTCATCCTGAAATACGGCAACTCCCAGCGACGATAGCGCTAGGAGAAGCAGCGGTTGTAGTGAGAACCGCATTGTCGAGTTGTGGAGGGCGTTGCTGCGGCTTCACACTTGATTGAGCTTAACGAGCTTCGAGCTACTGATGCATCGCAATGGCGACCTGTTCCGATGTGTAGGCTTAGTCATCATGAGGGCTCCAGGGTAGTAAGGTTGCCAATGCGGGGGTAAAGCCAAGAACTCAAGCAAGTCTTCTTCAATCAGATAATTAAATATGGCCTTGAAACAATATGTACATAATACTTTGGTCCTTCTCGGCTACTTTCTAAATTAATCATTCGTGTGTTTCCTCGGCACAAACAAATTGGAGTTATTACTCTTCCACGACTGCGGTTTAGCAGAGCTAAAACCTAAACTATCGGAGCAGAGTGGTAACTGTATCACGCACTGACACCTTTCAAGACAAGGACATATAAACTTTTTAAGTAGCACATGCTTCCACGTTAGTATCTACCCATGTAATTCGTCATTGTTTCTCGCTGTGTCATCAATTCGATTTGTGTTGTGAGCTAGTTTCGACAACCCTGTTTAAATAGTCTGCGGGGGTCGTCTAGCTGGACGAAGTATGTTTCGCCATGGTGTGATTGAACTACAAAGGGTCCTGGACTTGATACTTGACTGCTAATAGTAAGATTGATAGGGAGTACGAAGCAAACGTACTACACATAGTAAGTCGGTGCGAGTAGATGAATTAAAGGAAGACATGTCAATAATGCTCTTTTTGCCGACACTGTGGAACCTCCAGTACTACTTCGTACACAGACATTCCGTCACACGTCGGCACCGCAACCTCCCTGTAGACGCATCTTCACTCGACCGGCTCGATAGCCGCGCGGCCTCGCTTCTCTTTATTACGAAAACGTAGGTTCTCGTATCACACGAGAACGCTAGAGCCGTAGTGGCCGAAGCTCATAAAACCGCGGGCCCAGAACACCAAAGTAGGCAAGGCTGCAGGGGTCGCGCCGGGAATGGGGCCGTCGCGGTGCGCATTCCAGCCTTTCCACAGTCCCAACTATAAGGTTTTGATTACACCATCCGTTATCCTTATTGCGATAACGCAGTCCTCCCCTAAAGAGTAGGTGCTTAGCACAGGTTTTTTTCCGGGGCCGAGACTAGGTTTCCCTACATAGAGCGACTCTATGCCGTTGCGTTTCTGTCATGCGATTGAGCCATGGTTCTGCAGACGACAGGTCACCACTGTTAGCCTTTGTCGACACCCGAAGACCAGCAGAGCCGGACATGCGACCGATCAGCCCCACCGTCGACGCCGAGTCGGTTCGGGACCGGGACCGGGCACGGGATGATGCCGACGGCGACCTCGTCACGGCCACGGAGCAGCGCGACCTCAAGCGCGGGCTTGCAGAGCGCCATCTGTCCATGCTTGGCATTGCGGGCGCCATCGGCACCGGGCTGTTCCTGGGCCTTGGTGGCGCCGTGCAGACCGGCGGTCCTCTCGGCGCCCTGCTTGGCTATGCGACCGTCGGCTTGGTCGTGTGCGCCGTGCAGTTTGCCCTTGGCGAGGTCACGGCGCTGTTGCCCGTCACCGGTGCCTTTGTGAGGCATGCCGAGTTCCTCGTCGACCCTGCCTGGGGCTTCGCCATCGGCTGGAACCTCGTCTACGGCAACATCCTGTCCATCCCGTCGGAAATCACCGCCATCTGCGTCTTGTTCCAGTTCTGGACCGACATCAACCCCTCCGTCTTCATCGTCTCCTTCATCATCGTGACCGTCGCCGTGGGGCTCACCTTCATCCGCGTCTTTGGCGAGGTCGAGTACTTCTTCGCCGTGCTTAAGATCCTGCTCGTCGTCTTCCTCATCATCCTCGGCCTGGTGATTGACTTGGGCGGAGTCCCAGGCACCCCCCGCATCGGCTTCAAGTACTGGAAAGACCCTGGCCCTTTCGTCGAGTACATCGCTGCTGGGAAATGGGGTCACTTTCTTGGATACTGGAGCGTCATGACCAGCGCCGTCTTCTCGTTCGCTGGTGTCGAGTCCATCGCAATGGCAGCCGCCGAGACCAAGAACCCCCGCAAGGCCATTCCTAAGGCTTGCAGGAACGTCTTCATTCGAATCATCATCTTCTACTTGCTCGCCATCTTGGTGGTGGGCATGCTCGTCGCCAGCAACGACACCCGTCTAGATGACGCCTCCGGCTCAGCCGCACAGAGCCCGTTCGTGATCGCCGCCTCCGCTGCCGGAATACCCGCCATTCCCTCCGTTGTCAACGCAGTCGTCATCACCTCTGCTTGGTCTGCGTCTAATCAGAGCTTGATGGCCGGAACTCGTGTCTTATACGGCCTCGCCCTCAAGCGCCAGGCGCCGCAGATCTTTCTACGAACGACCTCATGGGGCACTCCTTACGTTTGTGTGCTATTTTTCACCTGCTTCATGTTCCTCAGCTTCATGAGTCTCTCAAGCGGTGCTTTGAACGTCTTCTGGTGGTTTGTCGACCTCACTGCGGCGGGCGTATTGGTGTCGTGGTCGGCCATTTTGTTCAATCACATCCGGTTGAGACGTGCCATGAATGTACAAAATATTCCAGTCGAGAAGCTCCCGTGGCACAATTCTTGGACAAGTAAGTCTACAACCAACTAAAAGCATGAGAGGGATTCAAAACTAACAAACTACTTCTCAGTCTATAGTTCATATGCTGGGCTTTGCATGAGCATCACTATCCTCCTAACCGGCGGTTTCGCAGTCTTCACCAAAGGGAACTGGAGCGCAGTTGGTTTTGTCTCATCTTACCTGTACGTTCTTACCTGGTGACATGCGTCGATCATCATTCCAGACACTAATGTTTTATAGGGATATTCCGCTTGTGACGGGTGCATTCCTCATATGGAAGTTTGTGAAGAAGACGAAAATCGTGTCGCTGTCGGAGATTCCTCTTAAACAGGCGTTTGACCAATCACTGGAACCAGATTTGTGATCTAAACTAACTCTTGTAACTGATCTTGGCCTCTAAATGGAATGATGATGGAGAGTTGGTAGAAATGTATATAGAATTAAAGTGTTGGCATATATAAACTGATTAAATTCGTATCTGACGACACTGGATCTATTCTCCTTATTTTCTACCTACTGGAAGTTAGTGTTACTGAGTTTTGGTTTCTGAACATAAAAACAGCATGCTGGAATGAAGTTTTGATTAGAACACTCTACTCGTTGAAGAAAAAAAATAGGGCCGGGCTATATAGTACGCAAACTCTCCATAATTTTCACATTCGGATGATTATCCGCCAATCCAGACACAGTGGCCGAGTGGTTAAGGCGTCAGACTTGAAGCGCCTCTTGAAAAAGATTCATCCAAGTAAAGAGGACGAGATATCTGATTCCCTAGGGATCGCAGGTTCGAATCCTGTCTGTGTCGAAATAATTCTGGACTCTGCCCACTCAGAGTTTCATTTTTTTTTGCCTTTGCTGCTTTTGTATCTTTGGCTTCGTCATTTTAGCCTGTCACACTGGGCGGGTTCTTTTGATGTCGTCCGTTTACCATCTATGTTGCCTTGTGCGTGACCTTATCTCTGATTGCTGCTTGCTTCTAGAGAGAATGAGAAGGCTTTACCATAGTTAACGGGAATTTATTATACTATTGAATGAGTCTGTCTCATGGCTTTCGCTTGGTTTCCTGCATGCCCTTAGGATGGCCGTCTTGTGAGGCTAGCGATATACCCATCCGTAGATGCTAGCATTTAACTGACTACCTGAGGTACTAAAGATGACCAATCAAGCAACAAGTCACATTTAAAACCTTTGAGACATGTTTTATCTCAGACTGCCTTGATGCGGGTGCTTTCATTTTTTGTACCTCTTTCCGCATTGCTGCACTGGATCATCAGACCTCTTCTCGGGCCTCGAGACTACAAGTCCCGTGCCAGCATTACGGCGTCAGACATCCACTTTGCCGGCGCACTTGATGGGCATTTTTCAGACATACCTTAGGCAAGAAGTCATCCCGCGAGATTTGATAGAGTGATTTTCTACGTTTTCCATGGTTGCGGCCTGCAGGGACATGTGATGCCTGATTCCTGGTTTGGAGTCCGTTTCTCGGTCTCGTCTCGAGGCCTCTTCCTAAGAGATGGATAATAAACCGCCAAAGAGTCTTGTACCGGCTCTTCTACCCTCGGCCTATACTGGACTTTGAGCAGTTAAGAACTCGAAGCACAAGTTTCATATCTGTGCTAGTAACTTCAATCCTATCATGGATGTAAGGCCTAACAGTCTACCTCGCCTCTATCAAGTCCCAACTGACAACACAGATCCTCCCTCGATCCCTCATCCGCTCCTGGTCCACCACCCCGATCCCAAACCTCTCCCTCTCCGCCAGCGGCCTCCTCGCCCTCGCCGACCTCCGCACCGTCGCCCACCGCACCGCCCTCACCGGCGGCTCGTCCTGGCTGGACGCTCTCGTCCTGGCCCCGGGGCTGCACTACCAGCAGGCCTGCGAGGATCTCGACCGCGAGGCCCCCGTCGGACTCGTCGCCTTGTCCACCGTGCCGGCCTTGGCGGGGGGCGCGGAGCGACGGTACGGCGTCAAGAATGTCGTCACGGTGAATTATCTCATGAGGCTGTGTCGCGAGGCAGGCGACGGACTTGTGACACTTGATGTCGGCTCTGTGGGAGAGTGGGACGTGGGAAAGCGACTCTGGGGCTTGCTTAGACGCAGACGGATGATGGCGCGTGAGGGCGGCGAGGACTATTACGATATCTCGCCCCCCGACCTGGACTGGCTCAGTCACCTACTCTACCTCATCAGCCCCGTCCTGACCATCGCCTCCATAACATTCATGACGCTCTTTGAAGACTGGTGGGGCCTCGGCATCCTCTTCGCCCTCATCCTGTCGCGCATCCTCAACATCTGGGCCATCAAGCACCGCGCCTCACAACCGGCCACGCCACCGCCGGCGCCCGACCACGCCGTCGCCGAGTACCGCATCGACCTCGGCGGCGGCCACATCGTGCGCCTGCGCGGCGTCGACGCCGACCTGCAGGCCCTCACCACGCAGGCCTGGCTGCGCGCGCAGTCGTACCTCGACGGCTACCTCGAGGCCGCCGCCAAGCTGATCGTGTACCTCGTCGCCGCGCTGAGCGGCAACATGACCCAGGCCGGCGCCATCGTCCAGGTGAGCTTGCTCATACTGAGTGCTGCGCTGCTGGGGCTGAGCAATGCCCATGCTCACGGGTTTCGTGTACACGGCCGGTATGCGCTGCCTGAGATGGCCGAGGTAGCTGGAAAGACGCCTGTTGGGAGGAGTACTGCGGTGCAGGACGTCGAGGGACAAGGAGTCGTACACCGACCCGCGGCAACGTCGCATTAGAGAGCACCAGCATCAATACTTTCAACGAAGTAGAGAGATGTACACCCATAACCATTGAAATACCGAGTTCAAGTCATCTGCTGTAGCGGCCGTTCGTTCTCTCAACTCTAACCCAGGATTATGTTCCGCTCCGTAGCAAGATCCTGTTGTACAAAAACTCCCATCCAGCCTATTCTCCGTATTGTAGACAGCCCAGAGCAAATAATAAACGAAAGCATCAATCTAAGATTGACCCCAACAATCCTGATCATCTGTTTATCCAAAACAGTAGGCTCTGTCTTAGGCGAAACCCTCTTATACCAGCAATATACTCCCTCTTTCAAATCTCCAAGCAATGGCGCCTAGGATGCTGGAACATCCTCTTTCTTCTCCTCTGCGGCGGATGGTGCCTCTACATGTGGTTCCGGTGCGGGTGCCTCCTGGGCCGACGCATCGGGGGCTACCACTGGAGCTGGCCCCTCTGGGATCGGCTCTTCCGTCTCGGTCTTCTTTTCATCAGGATTTTCTGGCGCTTGCACAGAGGGCTCTGAATGCTTAGTTGTCTCTGTCTCTGCTGGCTCGGCGGATTCAGGTGCAACTTCGGATATAGACCCGAGAACTGGCTCAGTTGGAGGCTCGAAATCAAGTTCAGTTTTGGCCTCAGTGTTTACATCACCGGCAGGTTCGATGGCGAGTTCAGTAACAGGCTCAACAGTAGGCTCAACAACAGATTCGACAATAGATTCGACGACAGACTCGACGGTAGACTCGGCGATAGGTTCGACGACGGTTTCGAGGATGGTTTCAATGACTCCTTCGACGACGGGTTCAGCGACAGGCTCAACAGCAGTCTCAGCAGGCTCGACGACAGTTTCAGTTTCAACAGCTTCAACTGCGGGCTCGACCGCCTCAGGGACGGCCTCGGGAACCGGTTGAGGGGATGGCTCGGGTGCAGGCTCGGCGACCAGCTCTAGTTCCAGAGCATCCGTCTCCATCCTCTCATCGACCTGACGGTCCAGCTCGCCAAGTAGTCCGCCAATCAGGTCAGGTTCTTCAACGGCGTCCATGGCCATCGAGACGTCGTCATTCGCAGGCGAGACTGGCCTTGCCTCAGGTGTGGGCTCAGCAGGAGCCTCGGGTTCCTTAAACTCATAGCCTGTTGCGGGCTCGGCGGGAGAGACCTCCGCGAATTCGGAAACGTCAAGGCTCGCAGACGCGGAAAACTCTTCCTTAACGTTATCCTCGGTCATGGTGATATCCTCCCGCTCCGAAGGCGGCTCCTCTGGAAGCACTTGATTGACCAGTTCGGTTTGCTCGGCAGGCTTCTCTTCACCGTCTGTGCCCATGCTCACTGAGCCATTGGCAGAGGGCGTAGTCGCGATGTTACCGACTTCCTCGTATGGAGGAGGCAATAGCGCTTCATCCCTTGGGGACTCAGTCTGGGGTATTACGTTTTCGATATTGAACTCCAGTGAGGCGACGGCAGACGGAGGCTCGATCGTGGCCGACTCGGTCGTTGCCAGCTCAACGACAGTTGGCTCGGGCATGGCTGGCTCAGGCATTGGCGGTTCAGCGGTAGGCGTTTCAGTGATAGGCGGCTCGGGAATGACCGGTTCAATAGTCGGCCCAGTACTAGTCGGTCCAGGAACAGTCGGCTCTGGGACGGTCGACTCGACTATAGTCGTAACCCCGGCGGTTTCAACATTTTGAACAGCAGGCTCTGTCGTCGATGACGCCTCAAGTGAGATATCTGGGGGAACCTCCGTAGTGGGGGAGGGCATGATGACGTTCTTCAGCGGGCTGCCTTCAAGCCTGGACAAGCCGGGTGATGGGTTCAGCGGCGGAAGTGCCAAGCTGAGAGGGTTGGGAGGTGCCAGCATTTCTGATGGAACCTCGTTGTCGCCCATCTCAGCATCGGGACGATCGGGCGCGGATGTTTCAATAGCAGGCACGACGTCCGTCATTTCATGATCAATAGAGCTCTCGTGTTGCGTACTATCGGCTGGTGTCTCGCCACCTTCGTCGCCGTCTTCACCTTCGTCGCCCTCGTCGCCCTCGTCGTCGTCATCGTCATCGTCGTCGTCGGCCATCTCGCTGTCCTGGTTCGTGTTATCGTCGGTCTCTTGTTTGATGCCCTGTGAATTGTTAGCGTCCTGGTGTATGAAACCATTAGGAAATCTTACGTTTTCGCCAACCAGCCCCGGCTTAAACGTAGATGCAGGCGCAGAGCCATTTACTGGGACACCGGCCGCTAGCGGTTGTCCTGCACCCAGGAGAGGAACCTTGGCCTTCTTTTTACCCCGACCAGGGCCAGCCTTAGACTTTCTCTTCGGTGGGGGTGGCCTTCTCCTTGTAGGCTGAGGTGTCGCGATCGCAGCCTGGCCGTTGAGACCTACTGCTGGTTCGACCCTGGTCGAGATGATTTCGCCGTCCACATACTGGCCATCCGCCAGTGTCACTTCCTCCGTATACTGATTGCCAGAAGCATCGGTCCTTCTCACCTTCGCCCTAGTGACCATAGGTCCTTGAACCCTGTCCTCGATCGTCTTGCTGGCGATAGTCACGGTGTTCTTTCTGCGCTTCGCCAAGTGCGACACGGCCGAGGCTTCGACGTTTCGGGGGAGCTGCTTCCAGAGCTTGATGCTGAAGCCCTTGGCGCTGTCATCCTCGTCCTTCTTTTCGGGCTTGTCGGGGATCGCGTCGGGGTCGGCGTCTTCCTCCTCGACCGGGGCGGGCCGTTTGTAGAGCCTGCCGGATCGTGCGGCGAGGAGGAGTTCCTGGCTATGCGGCGGCAGGAGACTCGAGTCTTTCGGCATGCCGTGGAGGAGATCGATCGACCAGATGTCGTTCTGCTGCTGTTGCTCCTGTTGGGGGGGCGGCGCGACGTTAACCCAGTCGTAACGCCATTGTCGCACTGGGAGACCTGGTGACAATCAGCAGCTGTCGCAATCCGCAAACAACGCGGTCGTACCTTCAAAGTCGTCGTGCTCGGCATATCCGCTGCGGTTCGCGCGTCGCGTCTGTACATCACAGTTAGTTGAAGCCGCGACAATCAAGCCACCATGTAGGCACC